AATAGTTGTTATGATAGAAATGTGTTATAGGTTAATCAGCCCTCTAGTGGTGGGGTGCAGGTCAGAAAACCTTTTCCGTGTGCTCTGCTCTTTATTGGGTCGTATGTCCTGTCGTCAAAATTGAAAGAAATTATGGAACTACAATTGAATGATAACCCTGTCTGCACTTTAGGTATACACCCGTAGGTCTCTAGTTAATTATTATAGATGATAATCAAACTGAAGATAAAATCGAGTCAGTTGGCCCATTGAGATGAATTCAACAAAATAAACCATGATGATTTTTAGGAGGAACCACGTGGAGGTCGAACTGACAGGATATATTGTTAGCAATGGGTCTGGTAGTCTGCATTACTAACAATCTTTTTCCTCCATCACGGGGATAAGATTTTTTTATTAACCATCTTCTCCCTCTGAGTGATAGGGACCGGTACACCCTTTGGCGAGCAGTTCTTCGTTCACCTTCTGTCGTCCAGATAGCACCAGTCCTGACTTCTTCAGATAGAAGTTCGAAAGTACCTACTTACTCTTGACTTATGCTTGCTTACTCATGACGAATGGATAAATGAATTAAATATGAATTTTCCCATGTTAGAGTATATCCTGATTACTGAGTCCATCTACTTTCTTAGTGTCATTTAATTATTTCAAGTAATTATCTCGAACTTTAATATAATATTTTCTTTTTATACTGTACATGACCGGCGTAGCGTATTCTTTACCGACACTTTTCTTAAAAACCAACACGCATTCGCACTGCTAAGCACGATAATGCAGTCTTTCAGCCTTGTTCAGCAAACCCTGTCCAATGCTCGCATTTCTACGTTATTTATTTTCTTACGTATATACAACTCACGTAACCAATTTATAATGCAGGACATACAACAAAAACCAGAAATCCTCTTATTACTAATTTTTATATTCCATAAATACATAAACATTATACCTAAATTTTAGGGGGAGGGGGATTGTTAGTAATGCAGACTACCAGCCCATTGCTAGCAATATATCCTGTCAGGTCGACCTCCACGTGGTTCTCCCTGGAAACCATCGTGCTGAATCCCAGGTGTATTCATTACGATGAGCTAACTGACCTGCTTTTTATCCTCACCGATCATCTCTCCCCATGGTGCCCCGCCAGCGTATACCTACAGCGCAGGCAAGGTTATTCCATTATCATTCATTAAAAAAAAATACCTAAAGTTCAATGACTGAAGTAGTTTAAGGTTTTGTAAATGTTAGAGCACCAATTATAAAATACCTATTGTAATGATTATCTATTAAGTACCTATAGACCTAACGCTGAATACATTTATTTTGTGAGTGGTTGATATTGTTTCTCAAGGCACGGAGTGTTTTAATCCGACACCAATGGTATTCCAGTGGTATTCCATATTGTCACTTAGTATTCATGACTGTGCATCACCAAGTAGGTATCACGTGCCAGAGACGAACTGACAAGAAATACCTACCTAGTTAGAAATGAAACGGTAACATTCTTATTGCTTATTTGCTTAAAATATATATACTAATGAAAAATCTGGAAGTCTTGAAAGGAAAATTCTAGGACAAGTTTTTTATGGGTAAAAGTGTAATTGTAACCCCGCCTCTTCTATCGGTATACGCTGGCGGGGCACCAGTGAGGGATGATAGGTGAAAACAAAAACTGATCAATTGTAACGAATTCAACAAGTATACTTTAGGATAGTGAACCCCAAGTCCAAGTAGCCATGATCAAAAGTATCTTAAATTACCATTTCTTGATACAATTTAGTACAAATATCTAGGCATATACCATAACAATCCACAAAGAGAGGGGAAAATTATTGTTATTAATCGTGGTTAATTCTGGTGGAATTGGACATGATGGGCTGATATGCTTTCATTCTAACTCGTTATCTCTCACTAGTGTTTCGTCAGCGTATAGTGTAAGCGGAGTTACCATTCCATTTACACCTATAAAAAAAACCATAACAAGGGGCGGAGAGAGGAGTTGTTAGTAATGGGAACTCTAATCCCAATTGCTAGCAATATAACTTTTCTTGTCAACCCTGGATACCATGAAAGGGGAAAGGTATTGTATCCATGCCCCACTTCCCTTTTCCTGTCGAAAACAACTGTGATTAATTCTCAGAAAATTTACCACGATCAAATTATCTGACTTCATCTTAAACTATCAGCAGTCATTGGTACCCCGCAATCGCTTACCGGTAACGCAGGTAAGGTTACCATAAGGTAACGTAAGAAAAAGTAAAAAGCCTACTATGAGTACACAGGTCAGACAACAGTATAGGATTTTGTCTCGATATTTTCTTTCACTGGCGCACTGTATTTCGTTCGCTTATCTAACTCTTGTGACATTCTTAATAAGAAGTGGAGATACATTGTATTCTTTTGCTTCGTTACCGCACAAAATTTGATGTATGCATGTAAAAATAAAAAATAAACTATATAATTCATCAGATATGCTTACATCTGTATGAATTACATAGTTTATTCTTGATTTTTCTTTAAAATACTTTCATTTTCAATAGAAAATTAAATTTCTTCATTATCAAGAAAATTGTCAGTTATTGTTGTTAATTATTATGTACTAGCGACCCGCCCCGGCTTCGCATGGGTGTAATGCCACACCGCTATATCCCTGCATTTTAAATCTGTAATATCTTCGGAAATATTCATTTAAATTGCATGCTGTAAAGGGCCATATTGGTCTATATTAAATAGAAAATGTATTCAAGGTACTTAATTGGATAAAAATTAATGTTGTATTGCTTAAAATCACTTTGTAAATAAGCCATTTTTTCCCTAAAATGTAAAAGATAAAAAATGGTTATTGTGGATTATCCTTAAGAGATAGACATATACCATCGCGGACTTTTTTGTTGGCCTTTTATGGTGTACAATACTGTAGTACATTATTTTGATTTATTTCGTGGGGTTCAGCCAGCGTTTGCAATGTAAGCGCAAAAAATGTGTTTATTTATGACATTACATTAGAAACCTCTAAATTTATCAATGTTTCTTTACAATATTATTCCGCTTCAGAATCCGTTGGGTAGTTTTAAAAATTTAAGCATACATAGGGACGGACAGACAGCGACAGCGATATTGTTTTATACTATGTAGTGATGATAATGATGATGATTACAAAAAAAAAAAAACAAGATAACAAATTCACTAAATTATTGGGGAAGTGTATACTACCCCGATATTATAGACTCCAAATGATATGAGTTCCATCTCCAAACACTAGGACAAATTAAATTTACAGCTAAGTCTCCGGTAATGAAAAATGACACTGAGAAATCATTAATACGAGTATGAGTGTGAACGATAGGCTCACTCTCTACTACGAATACGTTTGATACTTATATGTTCAGCGAAATGTTAACATGTCAAGTGCTATGATCAGCAGAGGCATAACTGTGACAGTTAAAAAATGCCCATTCTATTAAGAGTTACAACAAAATATTATTTTATTGATACTTACCTAATTTAAAAGATATCCAAAAAAAGATTTCTATCCTTAACTTATTTAAAGCTCTATCATTAAAAAAGGCTACTCTATACGAAATAGCTAACCTTAGTAAAATTGGCGTTTAAATTACAAAAGCAAAAATGGTCAAAAATAATTACAGAATATAAATAAAGTTCGATTATCACTTAAAATTTTGTATGGTGCATTAACCTATTAAAAATAATTAACGACACAATTTTTTAGATTTAATTGAAGTCATATCCAGTCAATTTTGAATATGGCATAAGTTTCAACAATAAATTTCAATATTTAGAAAGAGTACTAAATATTTTTTTGTCAGTAGATACTTACTAACAATTGCACAGATTGCATTCACATGCGAAACAGATACCCTTACTAGGTAAATACTCATTATTTAGATAAGTAGTAAGTATCTATATGTTTAAACTTTTACAGTAGATACACTATATATCTACCATATTTCTACTTATATTTAAGTAGAAAATCTAGTTACATTATCTTATCAGCTATCTGTCTGTAGTTGCCACGCTAGGTAGGCACGTGGCAACCGCAGTTAAGCTTTGGTGATATATTAAATTCCCTTAGTCGCCTCCTACGATACCTACGGGAAAAAAGGGGAAGAAAATTTTCTTACATAATGTGTGTTATACAAAATATGGTAACTAGATACAGAATCTATTAATCGTCAAAACTTGACAACAACAAAAAACGGATTTGTATTTCCATACAAACCGGTGGATTTTGACTAAAACACCAACCATGGAACGCATTAATTAAATGTTACGTAGTTAAAATGATTCATCAGACAAACATGTCTAGAAATAATCCAACAGAGACACAATGTCACATACATCGCCACATAACTACATATGTAGGTGTTTAACAATTTAAAATTTTAACCTTTGACATCGCGATTAAGTATATCATCAATACACAAGTCAACATCACGAACGAAATAATATAGATATGGTTACTTTGATTCAGTATCTTCATATTTTCCATACATTGTTAAAAACTTAGCTAGTACCTAATCTTTAAAGGGCAAATATAATCTTATTAGCAAAAAAATATCAAAGAAGTTATAGTGATAACTTTTTAGACTTAAGTCTTCGCAACCGCAGACAAATAATAAAAGTGGACGAAATAAGACAAGATATAATATAGTGTATGTTACTCAACTCTATTTATATATTTCTTAAGATACTCGGCCTGAATACGTATAATAATGTAGATAGTAACTTAAGTACGAAAATTTCTTAAGTCTCAGCGGACTACTCTCACGCTGTAATGTCATGTCACATTTAGTAGGTTTTTTATTTTTTTATTTGTAGTATCTGAACAGGTACCAAATAGGTATAATCTTAAATAGAGAACACTGAATAGAATTTTTTAAACATTGTAAAATAAATTTTGAAATAATATTTTATGTAAAATAATAGGTAATAATGAAAATCGACTAGTATAATTTTCAACATATTTATGGTAGAAATAAAAGAAGTTTAATTAATAAAACAAATATATTTCATTATGAAATTAATTACCAACAAATCCATTTTCAACACGTTTTCAAACCATTTTTCAATTATAATAGGGGAAATGTGCCTTTTTTTAAAGTGCCAAATATTCATTTAATAAGCCACAAAAATATAGTTACCGTTAACGGTGAGATCATTGTAATATTAAAAAAAACACATTAGGTACTTACATAATTAAAAATAGAACAATAACTAAATTGTTCTATAATAATTCGGTAACTATATTTTTATAGTTGAAAATTTTACGCCTAATGGTAACACTACAACACACATATTTATTGCACATTTAGAAATTTCGTAAAGTGTTTTTGTCTTTTTTTTTTCTTATTTTTAGAGATCCAAGACATTTACTATAATTTTGCACATCGACAATGAAATAATATACACAATAGCTTTAAATTTAGATTGTGGTATAATACACATCCAAAATATGAAACTATGCCTAAGTTAGTTTGGACAATGGACAAGACATTTAAAATTAAATGGACTGTTTTGTAAACTTACTGTAAACTTAAAATCATGAAATATTTATAAGTTAATTCATCACTAAAAATATAAAACAGGACAATATTTTCAACAATAATAATTATCTGAAATATACAAGTAAAAAAAATATATTAAGTTTGTGTAATATTTAACTTTGTGTACTATCAACATTATTTCTGGATAAATGATTCGAAGCATGACAAAAAAATACATATTCCAACATAATCACATATGAAAATCTTACATACATATAGACAGTACAGTTTAGTGCCTATATTTATAGGTCGGTACAATGTCAATAGAAAACTCATAAAAATATTACCTTACCGGATTTATATTACTTTAACATTGTAAGAAAGTTATATAATATTATAAATACAATTTATTCCAAGACAATTTTATTATTAATAAGGCCATAAAATAAGTTTATTCATTACATACACGTCTAAATATTGAATTCCTAACAACGTCGATGACGAGTTGAAACCTAATGAATTTCACTATCTAGCTGTGCCACCTCATCGTAATGACGACAATATAATTACAATAAATCATTTGCCTTATTAATAAAATTGTAATAAAACTTGGACGAATAAGAAAGTAACATTTAAAATTTCTACATTTTTAGAACTCTCACCACCGCGTTGATGGTTTTTGGTCGACTTTCATCTCATAGAACTAAATAAGATTTCAGATTCACATTTTTTAAATTCAGAACAAATAATACCGAATTTCATCGAGATATTTCCTTAAATTATAAGTCGCTTTGGTTTCTACGAGATACGTTCGACCAACCATGAACTTTTAAAATACTGGATAAAATAAAATCCTTATAAAATTACCTAACCCAAATTATTGCTGAATGTGTAGGTATATAAATGTAATGTGACTATATTTATTACCTATGGAAGCTTCAATAAATAAAATGTCTCTGAAGAACAGTTTCTATCACATATCATTACACTTTGTAGCACCACGCTGTTAATAGACCCATCTACAATAACTACACTTACCTCTATTCATGTATATGGAGATGTATAAAAATCAATACATCTGAAAAATAATTTGAGGTTGATATAAGTATAAAACATTCTGTATAAGTTAAGTTTAAAAATTAAATAAACTCTCTTATTGTTTTATGTATTTAACTATTGAAATCTGTGTTTTGGCTTAAAACATTTTTAAAACAACCACTATTTATAAAATATTATTTATTATATGACTGCGATACTTCTGGCCTACTTTACTTCTACCCGAAAATCAGTCTATCTACGTTCAAACGTCGTTGGCTTGGGTGTGGAGAGACTTCGTACTATCAGACCTTCGTCATTGTTCCAACTTAAAGTAATATCACATTCGTTGCAATCACCATAGAATATTACAACTACAAACATTGTCCTAGCGTCAGTAAATAATCATAGCGAAAAGAATGTCCATAATAAGCCTCCGCCGCGGCTTCCCAATAATTTTACCAAAAATACTAGAAAATATATTGTTTCAAATAAATTCAATAAAACGGCCATACGGTAAATATAAATAAATTTCTTATTATTCGAAATAGATGGTATTTAGGCAACCATAGAAAATTTTAATATTCATTTGATAGGTTACTTTGTAATTTGTGAAAGAGATCGTCTTATAAATTAGGTGCCATAATTAAATATTTTGAATAATTTATAAGAATTGCTTTACCATCCTATTACTTTTTCTCCCAACCTATCTTACTCAATTAATAATATGTAATAGAGCGGTTATTTTAACATAAATTAGAGAACCGATAAAAATTTATTACTAAATCAGTACTAGTTCGTTTGATTTTTTTTTTATTATTTTTTGTTTTTCATTACCAGACATATCAGTTCAAATCAATTTGAAATAAGACACACAATATTATAATTGGACGGAGATATAAACATGTTACTTGTGCGTCGTACAATACATAACCATCCGCAGCGACTCGCCTCCATCTGGCACGCACAAATTTTCTCTCACACCAGAGCTCGGAAGTCCTCCGAAATATAAAGTAAAACAAGTGTATAATAAATAATGCCCGTTAAGCTCACAGTCGACGGTAAAACAACGTGTCTTATAAGAAAATTATACATTATCTGCACCCGCAACAACACAACATGAAAATTTGTTACAAATAAAAGTGATAAATGGAAATTCTTTACAATCGTAAACAAATCTAGAATACCATTTTATCCTAATTTATCACATTTGACCTGGTTAGCACTCGCATATTTACAAACCATCGCCGTGCTCAGTAGGTATATTTTTATAATCTGATTAAAATTATCTATAATTATAGTTATGTATATTACATGAACAGATATAAAGAATACCACACCAATTTTTAACGCTACGAGAATTCAAAATAATGAACCACTCAAAGTTATCGATTTTGCATCTTAGTATATCAATCTTGCGTACTGCGAACTTTTCATACTGTATACATATATTTTTAAATGGTGTCACATTTTGGTAATCGAGCGAATATTTATACTGAAGACTACTTACGTTTGACGTAAGTACTTTGAGTGGTTTATGACCTTAAATCTATAAGACACTAAATTACACCACAACATCAAGTAACTACCGCTGATATAATTATAAAAAACAGTCAACATCGATTTTGAATAATATTTTATGTTATATAAATTTGATGTAATGGCAAAATATCTACAATATACACAATTTTTATGTGTTATTACGATGTTTATTTCGATGGTATCGTGGTATAAATTTGTAGGTACAGGGTTGACTCGAATATTCATATTGAAATTTATTAAAGTTCCTTGATTATTATTATCTCCATTGTATATGAATCAATAGGATAAACTCTGTGGTCACCAATTACTATTTGACAAGTTTCAACATCAAGTTTCCAGTTGACCCTGCATTATAATTAGAGTATTTCAGTAGTAAAAATAATAATTCAGAGTATTGCTTCTCGTTTATACTAAAAGTTTTCGACTACCTAAAATTACTTAATATATCCCTCTGGCAATGTTATAATTATATTTATTATAAATATCATACGATTCATTTTTCAACTGTATCTTGTTGATAACATCAGAAAAAAATGTTGTATTATGAAAGATTTGTTCGAAACCGACATAGCAAACTACAATAATAATATAACTAAAAGAATTAGTCTATAAATATCTTCGTTCAATAAACTACCTGTACCTGGTTATTTCGTTGCATTGACTATTTAAAACTGTAAAATGTATAAATTGAGTTACTTTGTTAACTATTATTATTAACGCTATTGTAAAATTTAGTAATAGAAATACTGGCCCGCTAAATCAATCAAGTTTAAAATATATAATAATAATTTATATCCACTTATCCTATGTACTTAATTGACAAGAGTTTAAGTCCGTTTGAATATTTGTAGATTATAAAATAAAATATACTTTTTATTTGTGTACGCTACGATTTTCATAAAATAACTGCTGTTCTTACTAAAATTAACAGATCTTCTTCTATTGTCGATACAGAAACAAATTACTTAGAACTATGGTAGATTATAAAAAAAGTTAATTCTGGTCCCTATTTATATTTTGCAGAGATGGTACCGTCCTATTTCACAAAACTAATCTGCAAATTAGCCTTCATGTTATAACGTGACTTTGACTATACAAGCAACTACTAAGTATAGATAGCTTCAGTTTAATTTCTAATTAAAATGTCATGATCTTATGCAAAGTTGCCGTGGCGTAGCTAAGTCACTTTGTAATATTTGTTTCAGACAAGTTTCGTAAAATATGTGTCAAATTAAAGCTAATTTGTGAACAACAATTATTTTTGAATTATCAGTTTACAGGATTACAAAAAATCGCGATTGCTTAGTTATAATAAAATTATTTCTTAGAATATTACATTGAATTAGGCATTAGACTTTTTAAATTAGGCAAGTCAAAGTTCGGCGTCAAACGGACTTCATTATGGCTATCGTAATCTAAATTATTGCATCAACAAAGATTACGCTTACAAAGTACTTAACCGCTATTACCTTCTATATCAAAAATATATGTACTTACGTTTGATAAAGACACGATTAAAAACAAAGAATGTTGAAATGACTTTAGGCGGGGTAAAAGTTAGGCAGCACCACTAATTTGTATTAGGTAACAGTGAGGAATACCCCTAAAACGTATTTATTACTTTTTATTAAATATCAATACTAGCAATAGCTAATCTTATTCATCCATAAACATATACAATGACCATTTTTACTAGCATTAGCAGACATACGTCAAATTACAGAAATATGCAAATAAATAAAATAGATAAAAATAATAAATACTTTTAAAGTATAATTTCATGCACTTTTATTCATAATTAGTTATGCATTTACTTTTAATATTCTTTTTTAATTGCAGAAATTATAGATGGCGCTACCTAGCTTACAGTTATGCTGAACATTCTACCGCCAGTTTTATCCTGCAATACTATCATTAAGACCACAGCAGCATTATTACCACAGTAATAGGTGAAATACATCCTTAGCATCCGATTATTGGAGTATATTACCATACCCATTTTTACCAAACAAACATTAGTGGAAAAGTCAAATAATTTTCAGCCTCTCTCACGTTAGGATCCAGGTATATACTCATATTAAGTTAATGTGAAGAATTTAAATTTTGTTTTTTTTGGGAAAAATATTCTGATAGTACACTCTTAATAGGATTCTAAACATTTCTATTTCACTTTGTATAATAAACAAAAATAACAATTAAAACTGTCATTAATTTATCGGATATTTTTAAATAAATATGTATATGAAGTATATATCACAATATCGGCAGTTAATATTCGTCTTAAAAAGATAAAATGGCCATGTATTATTGTACTAAGTAGATATCTATTAGATGATTGCGGGCGAGTATTTTTTACTAAAACGGTATCTTATAAAAAGAGCAGCTAGGTTGTAGTTTGTAAAACAAGTAATAGAGCGTTTTAAAAGTTAATAATGAACTTCGGAAACATAGTGAAGGCACATGATGGCTTTAAGTCAGGACAGTGGCATCGCGCCTCCGTCCCGACCTGCCCGGTCTGCGTCTTCAGCTTATGAGTCATTAACAAAAATCTAAAACAATCCTCAATTATCTACATCAGTGTTTATCTTTTATGAGGTACATGTTTTGGCACAGAGAGATTTCTTAAATCTATAATTATTTATATGTAAACATTAATATTAGATTAAATTACATAAAACATTTTTTCGATGTTCTAAAACATGTTTGACTGGTCTTAATCATACGAATCACAGCTTTTTTGCATTCTCCTACTTACCTATCGTCTCGACTACCAATTTTCTAGTAACCTTTCAATGGAATGAGTTTTTTTAAATCTTAAATTAGATCGGCGTACAAAATATGGCAAAAGAATTGAATATAAAGCATTAGAAAAAAATAGGTCATTCAGTAATTGTTTATATCGAAAAGTATATACTTTTTGAAATTGTTTTGCTCAAAATGTACGAAATAAAATGATCAAAATAATCAGTCACAAAATATAAGGTCCGAATATTAAAATCAAAATGCAATCAGTAGGTAGACTTAACTAACATGTAAGCAACGTAAAGTGTGTAAGATATGCAATAGGGAAGATTAACGATCATACTTTAATAATATTCATTTGCAAACAAAGCGTTGTAAATGAAAATTAATAATATTTCACTACTTTGTTACTGTCTGGATTGCTTTTGTAATCAGTTATAAAATTATATATCAAGTATAGTTAAAACCACTCCAAAAACAAAAATAGGCCTGTAATCTTGAATACCTGCTTATTTTATTTATGTAAAGTTTAAAAATATTTTTAAAAAATATTCCCATTCTATTGTTATAATATGACTGGGTTATTTACTTTGAAGGTATGCCAAGATCGGATAATGGACGGCGCGGGCCTCGATCAGCGGGTATTGTGTACGTGGGTAGTGAGGTGTTTGGAGAGGTAGTCCGCCCGCGCAAAGCACTTACCGCATGCCTCACAGTGGTATGGCCGCTCCCCCGTGTGGATACGCAGGTGACGGGTCAAGTCACTCTTGCCCCCAAAAGCCCTCCCGCAGAACAAACATACGAACGGCCGCTCCCCCGTATGTTTACGGACGTGTAATTTCAAATTCTCCTTTGACCTTACACATTTCCCGCAGAACGGACACGCAAATCTTCTCTCCCGATCTCTTTGTCTTTCGTCGTTCTGCATAAAACCGAGGATTCCAGAGTGCGAACTTGAGCTCTCATTTTTACTGCTATCGCCCCGCGATTCGCTTTCTGAGCTATCCGCGATTGAACTGACACTGGCGAATGAAACAGGAATACGCCGTCGTTTTCCTAACGTATCATCATCTCGCTTGCTGTCACTTTCAGAGTTTCTGCCTTCGATAGAGTCATCGACGGTTACTATCGAATCAGAAGCCCCATTGGAGTCTACTGTACTATCTTGTTCTGCGTCACGAATCACTTCTATTGGTGGAGTATTTGCTTCTTCTATCCTATTCTTCTTTTTAATTGAGAGATCCATTTCTCCGCATTGACCTATTAAAGCTTCGTTCGTACTTGAAACTTGATCAATACCCTCCGGTGGATCTGTATTTTTTGTATGCAACCTTTCTAAGGTATGATTCAGACGATGTTTCTTGAAAGACTTGAGATATCGAAATTGCATGCCGCAAACATCGCAAGTGAAAAGCTTGTCGGCAGGGAGTCTCGCTCGGTGGTTTTGTTCTTTATGTTTAACATAAGCAGACCTATACCTATAACTCTGACCACACTGTTCGCAAACGAATGGTTTATCATCGCACGAGGCTTGTGTAGCGTGCTGGAGGGCAGCGTGGCGCTCTAGGAGCCAGGCAGAAGGGAAAGAGGCAAGGCAGACACCACAGCGACGCCTCTCGGAGTGAAGTAGATGTCGATTTTGATAGGCCATGCAATCGTCGCTGAGGTATCGACGTATTCGGCACGCTTGTAATGCCAATAAGGGGGACCACAACGGTAACGCTGTAGGACTGCGGGCCGGTATGGGACTAGGGATACTCGGCGACCCGCACGACATATCCAGACACATCTGTAATGAAATAACTGTCATTAGTTTATTATTTCGTATATAATTAGTACTATCTACGTTACATTTTTATACGTACCTGCTACGTTGGACGTGAAGGTGGAAACATTCAATGAAAGAAGAGTTCTGTAATGATTGTAGAGCTTTTATTTGTCAAAATTGTATTTTTACAGCTATGATATGCTTATATTTGTTTCAAAAGTTACAATGATCGACAGCGATAGGTCTCTGTTTAAGACTGCTGCACAATTGACGAAACATTACACCATTTTGATCCTCGACCGTGATATAATAGGTACTGTAACTATTTTTAACAAAACTGTACTGCTCTTTGTTACAACATTATGAACTATTAATAATGATAAGGCAAAACAGATTTATCTAATCTAAAATGTCAACAATGAATGTTAAATAAACAGCTTAAGGAAAAATCAATTATTGATTCCTCAAAGAAGATACAACAACTATTAAGCTCTATAAATAAAGTGGACCTACGTTATTTGAACTTGTGCTGAATATAGTTTATAGTAGCATAATATTTGTATACAAAATAGGAGTATGTTAAGTATGTTTAAATATATAATTTGATATAGAAGATAACAAAACTGATCCAATATTAAAAAATTGTACTAATACTGCCAATAATGTATTCTACGAGCTAAAATTTGCAGTAAATAGGTATATTATGCTATTATAAACTTTAATCAAGAAAGTTTTAAATCTAAATAATTTATAATAAACACATTATAATTATTAAAACAAATTGTACCGATATACAATAATTAATACACCTACAGGAACTTAGAAAAATTGCAATATAAGTTCTATATTTAGGTATGCCACTTAAAATGGTAAGTTAACTACCAGTTTATTTTTCCGCGGCCCGCGGTCCCACCACATTTACTGAACGTAAATGAACGATGATACATCTAAAGTTTAACTCTCACGGTCAGTATTCAAACATGTAAGTCGGTAAACATCATAGGGTAACATACCGATTTGCATATTAAAACACTAACTGTGGTGTTTAGGCTTGGTACTACGGTAATCTATTAAAATATTGGGTATTCATTGTATGATAACATCACAAGATTGGAATGCGCTAGCTACGGAGGTTGACAATATATATATATATATATATATATATATATATATATATATATATATATATATATATATATATATATATATATACCTATGCCACACCACTGTGGCACCATTTTGTCGGCAATGATGGATCTATACAAGCGTTCTTTTTAGCCACCGCGGAATACTAGTCAGTAATTAGGTACAGTTCACATACTTTGGTAAAAATTGCATCAATGATTACAAGTCTATACTTGTCTATACCAATAATAATATTTCCTCAAATTCATATGGCGTCTATGGCTGGAAAAGAAGATTAGATAGCCAGGTAAATCAGGAAATCGCATTGGAAATATTAAAGATGCCAGGTTCTCCCCTTCCCCTTTTTCCCTCTTCTTTCCTCTGAAATATCTACTTTATTGCAAAATATAATAGTATTTGCCCCGTGTATTTTTTTATATTACATGTTTGATGATCTTGGCTTTAATAACATAAGAGCTAGTGATTTTTCAATATTTTTTTTTTTATATCTTAGACCGAAAAATGCATTCAATTATTAATATAATAGTCTAGAAAAAGATAAATTTTGATTCCATCTTCGACCGTTAGGTGGCTTGTATAAATTTAACCCTTGCCGTACTCCAGGTGGGTACACTCAACACGATAAAGTACAACTGCTCGTGCAAGTCACATATGACCACATATCATAACGCAACCTACAATTTTCACCATAAAAATTACACATTGTCTCTATGCGCTACATATACTATGTATATTCCGTGATTTGCAGCCTTTATATAAGTCTTGTATAGGCAAGAGGCACTCTAAATATAAAACTGTGGTCACAATTTATTATATATATAAAAATGAATCTACGTTGTATCTATTTCAACACATGGAATATTTCGTGCTAGTGTTTTCTTATAAGTTATCATGCTCAGTAGGTACTTCGGAAATAATAATCTACATACATTTGAAATACATAATTATAAATTATATGTATTAATTATTTTTATTTGTGCTAATGGCGTGTGAACTTCGCAGGGACGTGGCAACAACTGGCAAATGTTAAAATTTGAATAACTGCACTTGAGGGTCGTATAAACTATTGCGTATGTATGTTACAAATTACTAACAACACTCACCACACCGCCTATATACACGAGAATACATAGAAATATAATTCTATCAATATCGTTATTTAGTTAATAAATAGTACCTCTGAAAGTTAGGAAACAAAATAGCGTTTCAAACTGCATTCTGTTCTACTATAAAAAACTATTTCGATAAAAACTCGTACAAATTTGTTATTTCACATCATTATCAACCATTTATTTATTGCTATTAATTATTTCTGTATATTGTAAATATTCAATATTTCTTAAAACAAGAAGAGGAACATTAATGAAGGTTACAATATTGCTATAAAGTTTGGTAACGTTCGACTCCGAAAAATAAAAAGAGTGCAGCTTTTCAAATCGCAACATTCTTGTGAATCATTTTTAATTAAATTTATATTGCGTCTTATACGTATCCGAACTCTAGCTCCGGGAAGTAGCGCATCTACCAATCTATCATCTAATATGCATTTACATGTGTGATTTTTAACAATAGACCAACATTAAAATTTATTTTCTCGCTCAGATATCATCGTGAACTCCCGAAACGTTATATTATAATAAAGTATGAATAATTTATCTTTCGAAGGTTCAATTTACTTGCAGTAATGAACGAACTAATATGAACTAAAACATGCAATGGTTTATATGGAATGTTTGGGTTGTTAAACTTTTGATGACCAGTATAAACCATGCACTCGACTACAGAAATTGTAACATAAATCACTCGTAGACATAATGACAGATATTTGGAAGCTTCCAGAAGACACTACCATAATCATTATTTCAATATTTAACATCTTAACATTCCATTAAAATGAAATTAAGATACATTTTGATATGCGACGGTACTCGAGGCCGATCTGGTACCTATAATTAGCGTTTATAATTTATTGTTTACAAATAATATTATATCTTATACAATATCGGTGGCATTCACATTTAAAATAAGTTTCAGGTGACAATGGAATCGTTTTGGAATGTTAGGCGTTTGTGAATAAAAAAAAATTCTAAGTACACTAATAGAGATGCATTTATTTTTCACTTAATTTTTATCTAGATAAATCCGAAACATACTTGAATAACACACGCCTTAACAGCTACTTGACCTCTAAAACTTAAATTAGTAATGAGATCTGTCAAGAAATATCAAAATATATTAAAATACTTATATAATGTCCTTGTTCATAAAAATCCTTGAATTAGGATGTCGTGTAATAATTTCTTTCTTTTATTAATATAAAAAAAAAAAATGATAACGCGTTTGCTCTGTATTGCAATTTAAATCTTATGTACAATGATACACAGTTGAAGTTAATGACAATCACTAATGGTAACGACCCTCAGAATCGTTTTAGAAAGATAATCACGATCGGTTGATCTAAAACCTAAATATTTAAAACCATTATCTGAGATGGAATTTTACTCCCAGATGTTGCACTCTTACTTTTATATATCACAGATCTTTTCCTATATTATAATCATAATACTTTCCATTTATAAATTTCAAAATAATCGATTACTATGATCTTAATATTATATATATAAAAAAAGTATTTAAAACGCCTACATTCGAAAAACTATAGATAAATTTTAAATAAAGTGATAATCATAGCCCAATAAATTTAGAATTTATAAAGTTGAATAACAAACAGCGCATCACATTTTCCCGAATATATAAATATGATATGTACCAAAAGATTATGAATTTCTATCGACTAGTAGAAATAATTTTGTACACAAGAAAAAATACAATAATTTATCCACTCATGTTTAAACTATATAATGTACTATTCAGCCAGAGAGTACCGTGAGCAAATCAAAATGGTTCAAGTAAATAATTTACGAAAAAACTTACAGACTAAAGTGAGCCAACATTCAATCAGTTCCAAATCAAAGCTTTAAATATATTTTAGGTTGTGATGTGTATATATATATAGCTTCTGAAATTATATATAGGTACTTATGTAGAATGTATACTTGTAGCCGATGTTATGGCGACACGTTTTATATGTTGAAACAAAACGGTGCCATTGTAAAATTAACTTTATGATCCATAAAATATCCCTGTATTTGACTCTGTTGAATTTATTGAACACAGCAATCGTAAAGAATATCAAAAGATTTGTGTATTAAATGTAGCTATAATCAACCAACTGTATGTAATTTAAAACAAAAGAAGTATTCTATATGTTATTTTTCACATTATATACGGACAAAACTTTTGATATATCCTAACTAAACGATGTTGTTCTGTATGAAAATAGATAGAAACTTTAATATATACATATTATATTATTCTTATATACTATGCCTCTGAAATCCGTATCTGAATAATTATTTGGGACTACCTATTATGAAAATAATTTCTTATTTTCAATTCAAACATGTACGAGGTATGGACAAAGAGGCATAATAAATCGGACAGAACTGAAACAGCGTTAAAGCTTTGATTCCCATAATCACACATCCACAACCCTCCCCATGTTTCCCAAATACAGAACTACCGAAGCGTTTACATTCTAATAAATTTCCTAAAAATTCGATATTATCAAACTATATGTTATTTACATTTATATGTCGTAATATTGCTTTTGAATTACCTCAGGGGAGCGTGCGTCGTATTACGAAAGACATAAAATTAGTAAAAATCTCAAATCCCTAACTTTTTTATGATTACCTATATTGAGTGCAACTTTAGTATGGTCTCTAATAATTATAATTAAAGCACTCATTATCAATCTTTAATTTGGTTTATAAAATCAACTCTGAAATGATTCTACTATAATAAATATGCAAGTCTCTAAAGATTAAGTCAGTTCTAAATTAATTATATGATATTTTACATTTTTTTTTTCATCTATGATTGGAAAGCTTTGAAATGGCAACCAAACAACTATGAGAGCTCATAAAAGTATAAAATTTTAGACAGTATATTGAAAAATAAGCTAAATAAATTTTTAAAGCGATAAATTTCAAAAAAAGTTATAAGAAGAAGTTTGACTTCTCTAGTTAACTTTGGCTATGCCGTCTAAGGGTCTCATAATCCAACAAGTTTCTCTTTATAATCTAAAGCGTAAAGAAAGCACCTAGTGTGAAAAGTTTAAAAAGAAGCAAATAAAAAAATAGAACGACCGGCTCGTCGCAAATAAACCGACAATAACAACTTCAATGTGTCAATTATCTATTAGTGAAATATCAAATATTATTCATATCATTCAGATCACAGTTGCGGCGTTTAAATCACATTCTTAACTAATTACAACATATTGTCCTTCTTTTGTTCATACAAATATCACTTCGCATTCACCATTGACTACTTAATCCAATAATAGCTATATTGGTCATATCTTGTTCTGTGATCAGTGAAATAATGGTCTAACATTTATTGAGTGTTAATTATACATTTTGTTATAATCTTGTACCATATACAATAGTTTAATATACTTATATTTGCAATTAGCGCAAAGTGATCTATATAACACATTACCTAGGATATTCATAAGGAATGTCTGTTTTCTGCATAACTAGCTGCAATTAGCATAGTTGTTTTTTTACGAACCAACATTGCTATTTATAGACAGCCGCTTTTAAATAACGATTAATTTTATGAAGTATTATTAAGTACTACATCAAAGTAAACAATATGTTCAGGATTATACTGAACAGTCTGTACCATTTAGTTGCTGCTATATTCTTCTTTGTAGTCAGTCACTCTAGTCAGTGTTCATGGTTGTGTAAATGCTGTACATGGTGGAATCTCATTATAGGTCTTCTTGCTCTAAATTGCCTGTCTAGAGTATTAGCAAGCTATCTGCTATGTTGGTGAGCAATTATTCATATTTATATTCAATATGACAGCTTACTCATCTCTCTCAGTTTAAATAATATTATTAATATTATATATTTGTCAAATTGAATGAAATACACAACCATTTACCTATATGCATAAAGGATATAACACTGCTAATACGGTACATTAATGACTAAATTAGAATAAATTAAATAAATGGAGAATGTGAAATAATAGCTAATATATAGTAGAAGTGTTTATATATGTTGTGCAAAATGTTAGGCCACTATTTCAACTTCGGTAATTTCTTACTAAAAGTTATTTCCAATAATAGCTTACACTATTGGTTAATAAATTCTGATAGGCTAATTGTGTACTATAGCCGTCCCATACTCATTGATGTGGACTTTCTTCTTCGGTGTCCACGGGACTCGGTGAAAGAAACTTTCGTGCGTATTTTGGATAGTGTGTCTTCTCGTGTGCTTTCAATATCGTTGATCGGGAAAATGTCTTTCCACATAAAACACACCGAAAGGGTCGTTCACCTGAAATTCAATTATAATAATTACTTTATTATTTATTAAATAATTTATCTAAATAGATAAGAATATTTAGCTGAAAATAAGGACAAAATATCGTGTAACTGTTACAGTTCTGTGATTTAGATACTCAGTTAAAGTATGTATATATGTAGGCTTTTAAAATATTAACCGCAGCGTCTCAAATAACAAAGTTGCTAATATAAAAATACTTTATTCACATTTTCAATATTTCGAATAAACAAACTAGTGTAACAGATAATAAAAAAAAAAACAAGAAAGAATGAAGATATTGAAATAATATATAACTTTCACAGCTAATCGTTAACTATCCATAACTATACAAAAAAAACATTTTTATAATGTTTGTATATATACATTTTTATATTTTTTATAATTTGGCAAGATTGTGCTTTGCCCCGCACTCTATTTTGAGATAGCATCTCAAATGCGTTCTGCAGAAGTAATTCTCAAAACAATGTTTTTGAAATTATCACTTCTGTACCCAAAATGTTTCTATTCTATATATATAGTATTAATTGTTTTACACATTTTATGCACAAGTTTCTCAAAATAATTTTAGTAATAAGATAATTTTTAGGATTGGATAGCTATAGAACCATACAAACTATATACAGTATAGAACACTTACATACTTTGAGCTACAATTTAAATATTAATTAAATAATTAATCTACAATAATCATATGTGCATAACTTACCCGTATGTACTCTACAATGGTCCTTCATATGATGTCTCAACTTAAACGCCTTTCCACAGAATTCACACTTAAAAGGTCTGTCACCCGTGTGCACTGGCAAATGTGCTATTAACGATGAAACGTCTGGAAAACTCTTCCCGCAAAACTTGCATAGCACCACGTTACCGGGCTCCATAGGCCCAATGTCCAAATCTATAGGAGTCTCTTCTGTGGGCATGTTCATGTATGTGGGTTCACTAAATTGCCCAATCATTGGTAACCCCATAGGTCTGGCTAACATCGCATCGCGATATTTTAATGTATCCAGCGTGTGTGTGGTCAGTATGTGCCTTGCCAGTTTGCTTTGGTGAGGGAAGGCCGCGCCGCAGTGTATGCAAGGGTAACCCCTGTCCCCCTCCTCAAGCCTCACCCTACCGGACCCATCGTACTCCTGCAACCACAAAAAAGAACATCAACTTCTTATCTCTCTTGTTCCATTTTACAAGGACCATACTGTGTGCAATATCGCTACCACTACTTTCTAAATTGAGATGCAGTCTCTGTATGTTTTAAATTTCCACTATCTAAGTAAGAAGTTGACGCTCATTTTTGCCCAAAAAATGTGCAGGAGTGATGCGGGGGCCGGGAGCCGGCTACGTGTAATGCCTTGTTGTATAGCAACCCGCGCGCGTACTGAATCATTGATTCGTACTAAAAACGTATGCATGTATATGGCCAGGTTAAAATAAAAGAAAACTGCCCAAAATATATAAACAAAATGAATGGATAAAAAAATGATGGCCAACAAAATGAAGGTCAACTTCTTGACAGCAAGGCATAGTACTGGATGTTCAAAATAGCACAGCATATCAAACAAGCATGCAAGTAACAAATTAATTTTTGACATAAACACCAACAACTAATAATAAATGCAAGACCGTCAGTAGGCAGTTTATTTTCTGCCAACAGATTTCATTACATAGAAAATAGATATATTCTATTGAATAAGAAACAATATAAATACCAAAATATTTTACAAACTGTTTAGTTAATTTAAATTATTAGAAAAAGTTCATTTAAGAAAGAAGATGTAGTGTATAAAATTTACATAATAATGTTGCTAAATATTTAAGTTAGGATTGGAATTTGTAAACTAGCCAAATTATAGTTTATTATATTTATATAATATTATCTTGGTTAAGTCAGATATACAGTTAGATAAAAAAATATATATTTAAATTTGTAGGGGCATGCAAAGTTAGTTGTATATTTACAATTTATTCATATTTTATTATATCACCAAAAAATACTATATTTGGTGATAATATATTGAAGATTGAAAGCATGCACAGAAAATATATTAAATTTTCATTAAACACTGCTTCAAAGTTAACATTATCTATTTCAGTCTCTTTTGTCATAAAATAATTATAAAAAAAAAAAACAATAAATTGTATTGAAATATAAAAATAAGCAATTAAGGCAAAATAATTAGTAATATTTAATAATATTACAATCAAAATTCTACTATTACTCGATTTTCAAATATTGTTGATTTTTATCTGTACTCAAATCAATAAATAATGAATGATTTAGAATTTGTCTATTTCTAAATTTAAACAAAGTATTAATTTTATTTGTAACTAAAATACCAAAGCAGTCACACAGAAATAATAAATACAACTACAACATTTAGAATGTAACATATATAAACATAAATATACATACCGATTCATGTTGCATCCGATACTCTGTTGAAGTCTCACCTCCTTTTTCTTCATTACTCCTATCCCAATCCACTTCTTTCTTCAGTGACTGTAATTATTTAATCAACATTTTAAATTAAAAATACAATAAAGCAAAGGTACAGTTTGTTACAAATAAACTTAACAAAATCATAACAAAATATTGGGATTGTTAATAAATTCTTAGTTCCTTTTAGATAATTATATTAACAATATCAGCAGTAATTGAAACTAAAGTGTAATGGAATGAAAAGTGCTACATATTATATATCTCATCCATAAAAATATCCAATATTTCATAACCTACTTCAGCCACTGAAGTATTTTGTCTTTTGCATTTAATTCTTAATTTGAAAAAAAAAAAGTGTAGCATAACACTCATATTATTTGAAATAGTTTTATTTTTATTAATAACACAGTAGACATTTTATTATGTCTATGGAATTATTTTAGTTTACACATAAAATACTTTTTTGTATGTTACTCCATACATATTTTCAGAAGTATGAAAGCTAATAAACATAATAACAATAAATAAACAAAATAAAACATATACAAGTCTTAAAGTTGGACCTTCAGGAACATAACAGTGAAAAGTGCACCCAATTTAGGAGCGTAGTTTTTGCATAATGCAGGAACAATCATACAGATAGACTGATGAAATTTCTAAATAATATTGTTTTAGCTTCTATAATCTTAGTAAGACCCTTTATATTAATTTTTTCTAAATATCTTCTATGTACAAACATTGTCTAGTTGCAATTTTATTATATTACAGTCTAAAACCTATGGATGTACCAGTTTCCATTAAATAGGCCATCAGGTTATTAATAAATAAACTTATATTCACATAATTGTGCATACCACTACAATTACAACAGGATGTCAGATTATTTGTCAAGAAATACCACAGTAGTGTAGGAAAAATAAATGTATCCACATTTCTTAGAAATAATTAAAATCTGAACTAATTGAGCACATATACACAAACATATAAATAACATTTAAACTCAAAAGCTGTCATACATATTTTTTTTAAATAGTACAGGATCAAACTCACAATCTGTAATATATCATGTTTTATATTTAAAAATAATTATTAATTTTGGTTAACATTTAAATATAATAAATTGAAATAATAATAATTGAATTTTTACATATGAAGAGATATTTCTTTAGTCAAGTAAATTGTAAAGAATACAAAATACTTACAAGGGGTACTTGTTGGACAGGTGGCAGTCCAGAAGGGCCAGCAATGGGTTCGCTTCTGGGACTGGGTAGTGAGGGGTGAGATGGATGTGGCAGACCTGGATGTGGTATAGCATTGAGCACGCTTAGTCTCTGCTCCACTGGAGAGTAGCTCGATCCTAGAACAGCACCGCTGTGACTGTTTATAGTCATGTTTAAACCTGAAAAATAAAATAAAAATTAAATAAAATATTAATTGATCTATGTAAAAGTTACTAACATGAACAATTTAAACGAAAGATATTTTAGGTAAAAAATATTTAAGAAATTTGCTATCTTACTTAGGTATATGTGGTGAAAACATTTTCAATAATTTTTTATAACACAATAGGTACTTCTCAGAATTGTAATTACATAGATTTATTGAAACACACAATTCTATCAAAAAAAGGGTTGTAAAAAAAATATGAGGTCAGAATAAACGTTCAAATCCCACAACAATATTCAATTACTATTTGGAGTAAATTTACTTCGCTCTTTAACTATTGTAAAACTAGGTACAAGAAAACAAAGTAAATAAAAAAGTAAAAAGAATGATGTATGTCATTTAAAATGAGAATACATGACATGAACAATACAGAACTGTGGATGACGTAATCTAAAAAAAATGTCTTTTTTATTGATTTTGCGCAGTTTCAGTTGACAATAATAGCACTAAAATTGCAAAATAACTGAATTAGTACTAAGTGAGATTTTTGTATGAATATGAATAAGATAATTTAATAATTATAATTTTATTGTTTTTTGTTTTCTCTTTTATAATTATGGCTTTATTAACATACACCAATATCATACAATATTATGCTATAGTCAGAACTAGGCAAAATGCAAAAAAATTACAAAATCTTTAATAAACAAAAAAAAATTTAGTATCTTAGAAGCAAAACAAAAACTATTCTTGTTTATAAAAACTATTGAAGACTATTTTCAACAGAACGCGCTTTAAGATCGCTAAATTAAGATTAAATATATTTATGTTAAAAAGTACTTTGAAGCTATAGGTATTTGTGAATGCTTATAGCATCAAAATACTTTTATAGAAAGTATTGTAATACTATCTACAAAATACCTCAGTATGTATTTTAACTACGAATTTCTGATTACATTTTATGGAAGTGACGGAAATATAAATACTAATTGTATTTCAATTACCTACCCACCACTGGCTGTTGTAAATTAGCGTTATATTCGCTGATGCGTAACTGTCGCCTGTTCATTAACATTTGGTATATAAACTGTATCAAGCCATACACACACGCAAAATACGTATGTATTTCCGATTACAAAACCGCGAGAAAAATAGTTCCAAGCTTTTTATATTTAAATAATACAATGCAAACTTTTGCAGTATACGCCTGCCCTAATGTTCATATTTATTTTGACATTGACAGATAAGACTACTGTATTAATGACAGCTTTGTGACACTCCAAAAGAGCGGGAATTTTAAAAATTTTACTAGTAAATGAACTTCTTAAAAGTTAATGTTTCTTGTTAATATTATTTACAGATAGACGTAATACGGTCGATATTATAACGTAAAAGTTCTGATGTACCCGTTAACATCAAAATTGCACATAGAATTTCTTATAAAGATTGAATTTTAGATTTTAGATGATTGTATCTAAGGGTTAAGCTTACCAATGTTATCATTTTGAGCTCCATTTGATCTTAAGGATACAGCATCGTCTTCAGGTGACGAAGATCGCATTGGATCGTCAGGCGGCTCATCTTTCGGAATAGGAGGATGCGTTAACGTTGGTGTTTCACCTGAGACTTCTGATCTAAATCGTCGCACAGAAAGCAGTGGGGATATTCTTGGGGGTGAGGCTTCGGGCGCCTCCCTTAAATCTCGTGCGTCTCGATTATCACGCAGATCCCGTGGAACTTCTCGAAAGTCCCGCGGCTCTCGAACATCCCTAGTATCTCTTAACTCTCTATGATCCCGAGATTCTCTTAAATCTCTAGGTTCTCTAGTTTCCCTTATATCTCTCAAATCACGGGATTCTCTGTCCCTGTGTTCTCGTGAATCTCTTGACTCGCGTACGTCTCGAGGATGACCATCTCTTGCTTCGCGATTATCTTTGGACTCCCTCTCCCGGGATTCTCTCGATTCCCTTTCACGCCTTTCTTCTTTCTCCCGACTATCTCTACTATCTACCCTTTCGTGGGGTTCTAAACACTCTTTGGTGTCTTGTGATTGGCACTCTTCCATTGGTTCCGAGACGTTTCTAGCCTCAATTCCAGCAGCGCTTAATGTCGTCATTTCAGCTAATCCTTTTACCTGGATTTATATTAAATGCATTTATAAAATCAGTTAAATAAATAAGCATGATAATAATTCATCATTCAGCAATATACTAAATTATTATGTCATATATATAGTTATATAATCGCATATATATTTAAAATATACATAACTGGAACTATATATTTAAAAAACTAATCTCTACATCCTTTTGACATTTCTAATATAACGACAGATATGTACTATTATATGTTTATAGTATTGTTTAAAAGAAAGTAAGAGAAAAAGGTGGTTTTGCTTATTTTTATAAAATTATTAACTGAGCAGACAAACGTTGTTTTGCCCCCTATCGCCACCTAAGGGTCACTTCTTTATTAGCGGAATAAAAATTATCCTATCCTGATACTTAATAATCTCAAGTTAAAGCAAACACACACACACACATTTACAAAATTTCATTAAAATTGATAGAGCGGTTTTAAAAATTAGGGTGACCAAATATCGTAACACAAAAATTTGATATATGTATTAAGATACACTAATAATTAACAATAAAAAGTTTTATTGTGAGTACCAAATTGTTATTATTTAATTTCATATACTGTTTTGCTACAAACTAATATTAACATTTTTGACTAAACAAAATATGCCAATTATTCATAAATATAGAAATAGTTACGTACACCTTTACCAATATAGAATTTAATAGAAAATGCTAAACTCTTAAACGGTGCTGATTTTTTTATCTTACTTGTAGACTTTCAGCAGTTTTGAGGAGAGCAGGAAGTTGACAGTACTGGACGTTGACTTCGCCCTTGTACATGAAGTCGACGAGCGTCCTCAGCTCCTCTAAACCGACGTCCTTAAGTATAACTATGGGATGACGCGATGGATGGTCCACGAATAGCGAACGGAAATACGATGAGCACGCAGACAGTACAACCTGAAACGTAAAAGATTTTTTTTTTTATATTTGACCCGATATCCGTGACGCAGCGGTAGACGTATTGATTTGCATAATGAAATCTCAGTTTCGATTCTCGGTCAGGCTAATTAAGAAAACCAACTTTTATAATTTATCTTTTTGTTGTCGTATACTGGGTTGTACTTCCAAATGTTCTGTCATTTGTCTTTTTACAGCATGCAATACTGATAAATTTAGAGGTTTTTAATGTACTGTCGTAAATAAAAACATTTGTTGAGCTTACATTACAAACGCTAACTAAACCCCACAAGATAAATCAACTTAATGTACTATAGTATTGTACACCTTAAAAAGGTCAACAATAAAGTCCGCGATGGTATATATCTATCTCTTAAGGATAATCCACAATAAATATTTTTTATCCTTTACGGGGGAAAAAATGGCTTATTTACGAAGTGATTTTAAGTAATACAGCATTAATTTTTATCCAATTAAATACCTTAAATACATTGTCCAATTAATATAGATAAATATTACAGCATGTAATTTAAATGAATATTTCCGAAGATATTACAGATTTAAAATGCAGGGACATAGCGGTGCGGCGGTACCGGCCCGTCCAGCGGCGCGTGCCTATAAATAGCGCGTCGAAGGCCGCGCTTTGCCTTATAACACTTTATCATGTTTGTATTGTCTAATGACAAAAAAGCTGTAAACGTTGTTTACAAGGACATTCTGTAGTAGATAGGTATATTTAGTATCAGCATTGCACACGTGCGAAGCTGGGGCGGGTCGCTAGTTTAAGATATAGGATATTTATATATTTAAATTTATATATTTAACTACGCGGGCATATTTGCGGAATACAACTAGTATTTTAATACTAATATTTTAATTATTATTTTATTTATTTTATTAAATAAAATACTAATTAAATACGAAAGTACTATAATTAATTATGAAATCTCTAGATACTTGAAATTTGATCACTGTTTATTCCTTTATTCCATCCATCGTACATAGAAAATTAAATTAAGTAAGGAAATCATAATTGTATCGAGTTTCCCTAACCGACTCTGAACCTTACTTATAGGCAAGAGATGCAATAAAATGATAAAATATTCTAGTCTACTAGTAATATGTTAATTGTAGAGGGTTACAATGGCAATAAGGGAATAATATTGTATTTTTAGGAGTAATAATCATATTTGTAGATCAATTTTATACGTCTATGTTTTTTAAATGAAACACAAATAAAAAAATGATATCGACATAATACGCAACCATACTTAAATTTACATATAATTTTTATTAATAGTGACTAGCAATATAACATGGAAGTTATGATTACAAAATTAAAATTGCAATACAATAAAAATTGTAATGCTTAGATATGACCATAATATACGAACTAAATTTATAAAATTAGAAAGTCATAATATTAGAAAGAAAGTCTGCAAACTGAGCAACTAATGATGTGTATCTGCTTTTCTTTATACATGCCGGAAAAACTATAAAAACCGTTATTCAACTTGAAGGAAATTCTACTTCGGTGAAGACAAAATAAGATGACTACAGTTTGCGTATATTAACACAGAAAAGGCAAAATATATTAAACACCGCTTTGCTTATACTAACTTATATAATAATATCAATATCCTTACGCAAAAAAAAAAAATATAATTTATTTAAATATTCACAAAGTATGAAAGTGTGTGTATAAAAATTGGTAAATACGTTTTCCTGTTCTCAAACAGTGAAATAAAAAAAATATATATCAATCAGAAAAAATGAGAATTTCTATTCTCACTCTCTCTCACTAGTATGCTTTACGAAATGTACTAAGACAGAGGTGACACTGTAATAGGTTAATACATTTTAGAATCAACCTGTAGGGTACAGGTTGATCTTACGCTGTATTAGCCGATAATCATTCCTTTATTTTATTTTTATTTATTAATTTTTACTGAATTCTATAGACATTTTCTACCAGCCAATCTTTGAAATGTGTAAGTATTCTCTATGATAGTTTAGCATTATAAAAATAATAATAGAAAATTAAAAACTACATACATACACATTCACAAAATAAACTTATAAAATTTATGATACGATTAAGACGAATAAAAATACCTATCAATCGGGCTCATTTTTATCGGGCTAAAACCTATTACTGTCTCTCAAGTTGGAGAAAACAATACATATTGACAAAATTTAAATTAAAATCGATTAAGCAATTTCGAAGATTAGCGTGAACGAACGCCATGACACGAGATTCTGATATATTAAAATTATATTGTAAATTAAAATACCTTATGAGCCCTTATCGAGGCACCTTCAGAGCAGGCAAGAGTGACGTCCACCAAACTCTCGTCGTGCAGCAACTGGCTGAATACTCCCAGCAGGTTGCTCTGATGATTGTTCCACCTTAGGCAATAGTGCTCACTTCCCATGTCTGAGCTAGCTCCCGCCGCTGAAAATTATTATTTTTTTCATTAATTCAAAATTACCAACTAATATACTATGACATGATTTAATTACTAACAGTCACACGCTTTGGCCGCATAAATTACGATAGAATCCTACATGCAACGATCAATTTCATATTCTATTTTTCATGAAAATCCATTCAACAGTTATATGATTATATGACAAGGATTCAAATAACTACCTCATTAGTTTATAAAAATCTTCTTTATAAAGTCTAAACTATTTAAACAACTTTGAATATACTTAAAAAAAAAACTAAATAAAAATATATAATTTTTTTTTTAAGAAAAAGAAGCACTTTAGAATCTGGAAATATTCTTATATAAGTAATAATATTGATCACGAATTTTTTTATACTTTATGCTTTATAGTGCTTCTTAATTTAAACGTAAATAATTTTAAATTGTAGGATATTCTGTTTGCCAAATTACATTTGAAATTGAGCCATTTATTCGTTATTGGATAATTAACACAAAGCATAACTAAGTATTCGACTGTAGAGAGAATAAAGATAATAATTTAGCGTGTAAATAGGTATGTATGTATTTAATTAAGTATCTTCAAATTTGGTAACGCCATGTCATGACGTTACCTTGATAAATTTTAATGTATTCGTATATCATAACACTAATATAAAATATCATTATTTTTAGTTATTAAAAGAAATATTATTTCTCTATGGTCTGTATTGTTTTCATTCAGCTTAAATATGGCGACTCTAGACTGTGGAAAACTTGTACGGTCATGTTTTTGTACCTTACTTTTCCACTTGTTTTCTAAATTTAATAAATGTGGTCTATATAAAATAAACTATACTTGATTAGATACAACACAGTTTAGTACTCTTTATTTGATGTTTGAGCATCGAAGTGGAATCGACGATTTTAAAAAAAATCTATAAAAGAAGGTACCTATTTGGATTATTTTTCTACGATTAGCCTTAGACAAATTGAAAATCAATTTTAAGCATGAGGAAGAATATCTCAATTCGGTCAATACATTTTTGTGTATATTTCGTAATTAAGTCAACAATTTCGAACTGAATAGTTATTTTTTTTTTGCATTAAATGTGTGTGTGTTAGGTCTTATATTAAATTTTCCTGTCTTTTTTTACAGAATAAAATCCTGCTTGTTGTCAAGCAAAACAACTAGATTACTAAATATACATCGGGCACATTATTTCATGTTCTAAATTCAAATATTTTAAGGTGCTGTCTTTTGAGAAGAAAAATCAACCTGTAACCTTCCTACTTTAGATTTGAAATAAGGTAAGTATTAAATAGTATATGTATAGTTTATGTAAATTATTTTCAGAATTCAAAAAGCCTTGAATTTCTGCGAAAACGGTTTAGAATATAATAGAGGACATAGCACGTGTAAATTTGTTATCAAAAAAAAACTTTTAATTGCACACAGGTTAAAATAAAAGACACTTATCAGCATACAAATGAATATGTACGTAAGTAGGTACTTATGATAAATTATTATCAATATATGCACCGATTGGTGGTATCGATTATGAATATAAAAATATACTTTCTCCTATTCCTTTTGTGTACATTAAATATATCTAACCAAATCCATGAGGTTACTATAAGTATTTATTTATATTTTATAATATAAACCTAAATTCTATAATACTTGTTATATATAATTGTAATACTTACAATTATATATATATATATATATATATATATATATATATATATATATATATATATATATATATATAATCATAAAACTTAAAAACATCGACTTAGTAAATCATAATGCATACTTGATACTTTACAACAGCACCTTTAATTTCAGAAATGAGATCCGTGAGGTTATCCATTTATAATAAAATGATATAACGGAATGCATCTATTATAGTTAAAAAAAAATATTAATTAAATCAATTATAGGTACAAGGACAACGGCTTTGGTCGATCGAATTAGTTTTTTGACCAAAAGGCCATTTGTCCAATTTGATTTCTGAACCTTCATGTATTCTCTACTTACAGATACAAATATAATTTAGTGAAATAACTAAATTTTAGATATTTCACAGAATAAGAATTATTTTTATTATACAGGCGTTAATTTTAACTTAATAACTAGTCTTATAATATTACGTTATATATAGACTATTAATTTTAATACACTATTTCTATAAGCTTGTCTAACTGATTTTAGAACCAATTAAATAGATTAATTTTAAAAATATCATAGCATAAAAATGTATTATAATACTATAGTTATCATTAAAAATCTTATTAAATAAATAGATAATTAAAAGTAGGAAATAAGGTAGGAAGATAAATTTGAAATAAGTACCAACCTCTACAAAAATGACAAGCAATAGCCATCTTCTTTAGGTAACATTATATTCTCCAGTGAACTTGGGAAAATTAGTCATTGCACGCATCCCAGGCGTTAATTACAGCTTTTACAGCACGTTCAACAGCCGGAACTGTCAGATTTGCTAATGAGAACTAAACAGCAGTGCAGTATATTTTCTGATTATAGTTTCGCGCCTCCACGCGTGTTGATAAATATAGACGTATGTAGTATTTAGGTGTAGGTGTATATGCGAACACGCGTGTGCGACGCAGGCGCAGTCAAGATCAAGGGCGCGCGATTGCGCAAGAGTTGGCGGTCGCACCGCGCTGCAACTCTGTGTGATGTCATCGGGCCGTCTGTGCCCCCCTCCCACTTCCATCACACCCGTTTCATAAAGGCCGCGGACGCGGAACATTCTATTTTTGACCATACTGATATTGCGTAGCCATAGCCTACCTGTCCGTAGTCGCGCCACCATCTAGGACCTTCTGCGCCTAATGATGCCATTAGAGGCTGGCTTCTATATACGTGCTTACGTACTCAATAGATCAACGATATAAATTTTAATAGAATTTATTACTGTTTTGGTAACCTCTATAACAATTTTTATAATTTTAACATGGGTCAAATTATGACTACTAAATTTTTTACAATAGATAGCTTTTATACAATTTTTTGGTAATTTAACATTAATTGTTTGTTATTTGGCCTAGCTGTCTCATCTTGGCTAACAAATAAATACCCACAGAAACAACTTTTGAATCAGTTTCCGTTATACTTTTTTACTTTATTTATATTTTTTAAGTGTAATATTTTTTTAAGAATAATCTTATATAATAAGAGTACTTTTTTAATTTAGTTTTAGTACAGTGTTTTTAATCGGCTATTCGAACTATGAATATATTTAAAATATGATTTTTAAATACATTCATTCATAAATTTTATTAAAACCGTAATTACTATCTAAGAAATTTACTTAAAATTTTTAACTTTTTTGCGTGATTGTGGCAACCAAACAAAGACTAAAATAGTCGGTGTGTGGGTATGTCTATCCCACTTGTGTTCCTACTGTACTTATTTGACTTTTTCAATTTGAAGAAATTACAGGGTACAGAGACACAACACTATAATCGTCAGAAATGATAGCTCATGAAGAGTACTGTTCATATCTATAAACACTGATTACCACTTTTCATCAGGTGGACCGTCAGACTATTTGCCATATTAAATCTCATAAAAAAAATGGTAGGATCTCCAACAATTTTCGTGTTCACGAAAAGTGGATTTATTTAAAAAAAATAAAAATATCATGTAGCTTCCTGTATTAGTTGTTCGATTGCATTCTTAATCCCAAAGTGATAATACTTTATATATACGTGACTGCATATTTAATATTTTAAACCAATACTGCAGCTAAGTATTTTATTTTTATATGAAAACAAGAAAACAGACAAAAAAAATTAAATAGTAAGTACAAAATGTTTATATTCTGAGACACTCTTATATCTAGCATAACTATTGTATAAATTTTATTTTTAATATCAGTAAATTAGTTTATTAAGTTTTATAATTAATATCAGTAAACTAAAAAATATTACTTGTATTTCTCAAAGCATTTAAAGTGAATTCTATGAAAGTCAAACTGTTAAAAACGAAAATATATTACTTTAATAAGCTATTAAAAATCCCGCTATTGAATACAGATCTCTCTCCATAAGACAAAAGTTTTAACCCTACATATGTTTTATTTTGTCACTTTTCAGATTTTTTTGGTCCTCTTATGACATCTTAGATATCATTACGAGTAGTAACGGTGGAATGATGTATCTTTAATCAAACACATCAGCACAGAAATATAAAAATTTAAAATTACATTTGTGACATCTGAATTTAAGATATAATGTGTAAGAAAAAAGTAAGGTAACCTTATTATTTTTATCAATCTGAAAAAAAACTTTTCCTAATATTTTAGCAGTCTTTGAGGCATCTATTAATCTAGCAATTATTAATAACAGAAAATGGGGGGAAAGGGATTGTTAGTAATGGAGACTGAGAATCCCATTGCTAGCAATATAACCAACCAGGTCGACCTTTTCACGGTTCCCTCTGGAAACTATCATGGTTAATTCCTGATGAGTTCATTATGATGAGCTAACTGGCCTTTTTTTCATTCTCATCTATCACCCTTCACTGGTGTTCCGCTAGCGTATCCCGTTAGCGCAGACGGGGTTACCATTCCATTTAAAACAAAAATAACCCATCTCAAAAAAAAAAAAACAGAAAATGTTTATACATATACTTAAAACATTTTAGCAGCATAACTGTATATGTAATAGAATGATCAATATTGCATCTTGTTTTTTAATAATGCTAGGGAAGTCCCTATCGTTGCGTAGAAAATTAAATAAATATTAGTTTAGTCCAAAAACCAACACAACCCATAATATTTCCCAACTAAATTTAAGCAATCATAGGCCATGCATAACACTTCACAACTTTTTGCTATTTACTCATTACATAAAATAATATTTCTACAAGCGGGAAAGAACATGAAATAACAGTAGTTAAATAGTTTAAGATTCACTTTTTTTTTTCTTAAAAAAGAAGCTCTAAATATAAGTAAATGTATCTTCATAAAGATTTTAGCTTAATTTCTAACCC